CCAATAGATGCCATTAAACAGATAAACTTACATTTTCATTAAATAAATCAAAGTCTTCATCATTATCAAAGTAGCTATCTTCAGAGAAATCAGATGTTACTGATGTCCCACATGAYGTGCTGGTGTATTCACTGTACAGAAGATTTCGTTCATGAAAATCAGGACCACTAATGGAAAGATAAAAGTCRAGTAAGTGGCTGAGCATCAATTTAACAAATTTAGATATTCTCATGGAATTGCGATCTTCCCAGCCGAAGAGATTTTAAATCCGATCCCCTTTCTTTTAAGCGTTGAGCTTGCGAGCCTGGGCAAATTTTTAGCGAGCTTTATGATTTCTCAGTCACCATTCTATACCCCTCTCTCAAGCAATCAGAACCAAAAAAAATTATAATTGTGGTAAAAAAGTAATTTCCTGCTAAAAATCTTGTGTGATACATTCATGTGATTGTATAAATTGTACTTACCATGAAATGTTTACTTCAGCAGCTATTTCTTCTTCAAAATAACTTGGAGGGCAGTAATCTGGCATTGCACTTAAAAAGTAATCCTTGGAGAGCCCAGGGGACGTCCCTAGCAACCTTTCATTGACAAAAGTAAATGGAAATTTCAATATGACTGTTTTAACAGATTGTGGTTCCCACTGAATTATGGTATTAATTGGGGTCTTTCTTTATTTATTTGTGATATTTCTATAGCAAGATTTATTCATTTCTTAAATCGAGTTAGTACAAACAAAATTATAATCACAAACATTTAGCGAAAAGAAATTTCCTTTGTTCAGTCTGCACAAAACAAAAGGTTAAGCTTATGTTTTTTTAAGCATATATACTAGTGTATTATTATACGAACTATTAAAGTTGTTTAGTTTGTAAGATAAATAATCAAAAAGGGAAGTAAAAAGTTTATGAAAAGTATAAATTATTCATTTTCACAGCGTGACTATACATCCCTCAATATGGCCAGTCACACTACTTCTGAACTGAAATATCTTCACAACCAAGCAGAATTTCAGAAATCTTATTAAATTATATAAGAGGATAGTTGTAAATAGGAAAACGAAGAGCGTCTGTTATGATACAAAACGATATTCACTTGAAAAATGACTTAAACCAGCCGAACTCACGTGAAAGCCATTCATGTTTCGCTGTGATATCGTAGCGATATTGAACAGAGCGGCATTTTGGCAGGAAAAGTTCACTAAATCCATTTAAGCCCATTTTTTAAGAGAAGTCGATAGTATTTGAGTTAATGAAGAGGCCTGAAATTACATATTCTCAATAAAGAAGAGAATAATTGAATTTTTCCGTGAATACCTGTAGCCGCTTCCTATTTAGAAATCTAGATTTCCATCGCACCTACCTCATTTCACAGCCGTCTTCTGGGATTGCCAACATCTTTTTTACATTCTAAAGCACTCCAAGATATCAACTAATGTTTAATAATACTTCTTATTGTAAAAGGAAAGACAAATTGACTGAAAAAAATCTTAAAATTTCATCTCAAACGAAGATTGTACGATACTTTGAAAGCCAAACGAAGGGAAATTCGGAGTGCTGACTACACACGTGGCCTTAGCCAATCAACTATCGCGTTAGAAAGCACATGGCGCAATCCCTATCACCTTATATGGAATACTCAYGGGGGAGAAGAGAGTAGYTTTTKCAKAAATAAAATTCTAAATCTACCGGGGGACAGGTGGTTTTCGATTTCATTGATTTAAATTTCGCGGTAATATTTGAATTGTGGTATTTTTCCTTTTTTTCATGCTGATAAATTCTGAAGTTTAAATTTACAAAGAATTTTGATAATATATCTTTCTTTTTAGAAGTTTTTCAAAAAAGAAAAGATATTCAGCTCGCTGTAAGATCGAGCGAACGCTGTAAGATCGAGCGAAGCAGAAAAAAGTCAAAGGACGCAACGAAAACAAACAAGACTTGAGAAAGCTAAACAATCAGACAACAAAAGAAAATGTGTAGGACTGGGAACGAGGAATCTAAGTCTACCATATTATGGGCTCCCTGTGGTGCGCGTCAAATCAATATGATGTCATAAAAGTCGTTGATGCCAGTGCGCGCGTTCATCAAACCGCTTCAAAATTTTAGCATGTTTAAACAAGTATTCTCCTCAAATATGGTGTAAAAGCCTGAATGGACGCCGCTGCGAGAGTTTTTGAGGAAGGAGAAGAGGGAAAAATAGTCCAAGTGAAGCCCTCATGGGTTTTAGCGGAGAGTCTGGAAAGTTTAGGTTCGAAGTTCCCTCTCATTCCCGGTTCACAAGATTCAATCGTGTTTTGCACGACTTTGCTGTCAAAAAAGGTGAGTTCAGTTTAATTTTCCATCTATAGTTATTTGCAATTCTCTTATTTTTAAATAAACGAGATAAAAGAGGCATATTTTATAGCGTTGATTGAAATCCAGTCCACGCATGTTTCCGGTTAATGATTGGCTCGCCATTCCAGTTTCTCTTGAGCAGTGTTGTGTTCCGTCAGACAACAGAGCACAGTAATATTTAACATTTTTCTCGTTCAGCTTCAACAGAGATCTGAAGATGGTGACTTTGACTTTAGTGACAGTGATATTGTGTCATACAATGGACTTCATGATCCACACCTCAAGTCTTATTTCCAGAATCCATCTATTMGGAAAAGTCTCATAGAAAAAGGTATATAACCACGACCCAAAGATCCCTGAACAGGCCCGTAGCCTGCCTTACAAATGGGAGAGGGGGGAATGGGTTGGTCATAGCATATGGTTCAACGTATGTAATACTAGTACTTCCTCATTGAATACATGCTCAAGAAGTAAGACCGTTATTCATGATTTTATATGTAAATCTTCAGGGTTCATAACTGACGATGGCTACGTGAAATGCAATCTCATGGAGTTCAACAATTATCGAAAGTGGATCCGAAAAGTGAAGCTTGATGAGCTGCATCGGCAACATAAACTTCATTGCGAAGAAGAAGCTKCCAAAAAGAGGGAAATGGTCGCTCAGCAGAAACTCGAGAGAGAAAATGACGAGGCTAATATCACAAAAAAGCGGGAACGGAAAGCCAAGGAGGTTATGATGGAAAATGAGAAGAGACGAGAGATGGAGAGGTTAGTCAATGCTTCTTTATTATATCCATGTCAGTTTGCGACTTTCTTCAYCGATTGCTTTACGCACAGCAACAACCGGACCGCGCGACAGGGGGAGGGGCTAGGGGACTATAGCTGCCCAAATRATTATTCTACAGTTTCTCGTTACCAAGTTATTAAACATTTCCATAAATTTGATGCCTTTTATATGCTTTCATGGCAAAATCCACTTTAAAATGGGGGAATTAACTGATTATCAAATAAATGCGGTGGAGAATGYCCCTTCAATCAAAAATGAGTGACACGGTCCCTGAAGTAAGGGGTCTCGCCCGTTTTTTTTATTGCTAGTTATAGAGGATGGTTTTTGCCACCCTTTTTATAGTTACTAAGTAAATGAAGAAAGTTGTTTTGATGACAGCATTTTGCCGCATAATTCTAGCTGAAAATTATATTCTATTATATTTTTAGAGTCAAGAACGTATTAGATATATATAGCGAGCTTATAAAATGCATTTCTACCGTTTTCTTAAGCAAAAAGCTAATGAAGCTCCAAGCAATGGAGAACAAGAATAGAGAAAAAAGTCAAATTGAAAGAAGAAGATTTTTAGAAGACGCAGAGCTCCAAAGAGAGAAGAAGCAGTTAGACAGACAAGCACAGAAAGTCAAAGAACAAGAAAAGGTTTGTACTCACCGCGCGCGTCGAATATTCTTCTTYACGGTTCCATGCGCCATCTTAAAAGGTAGCTATGTCTCGGAATTGCAATGATATTCATGTCCTCCGAGTATAGACTACAACAAGCGACCTTGCGCAAGATTGTATCCAAGTTGTATGATTTTTTATGACATTTGTTGAAAGTTGTATAATGCACAGTCTACGTACACGTCGATACAATAAAATAGCGAATTTAAGGTCGATTTACACATGATTGTATGATTGTCGCGTGCGACTTGTAGTATACGACTCAAACAAAGAGGTTCCAAATCGAAAAATTCAAACTATTTGTCTCTATTTTTTTGTTAACTAGTTTTTACTGTTATTTTAGATGCGTAAGATCAGGATGCGGTTTCTGAATAGAAAAGAAAAAGAAGATAGTAAACGAATGCTTGCAATGGCAGAGCGGAAACGACTTTTGAAGAAACAAAAGGAAAAAAAGGTAGAAACAATAACTGAGTCATTACCATAGAAACTTGTTAATCCGGCCACCACATAGACATCGAAAAGTGACCGTATTAACGGGGAGGGTGCGATTTAACAGGGCAGAAAAGGACCATAATGACGTCATGTATGTTTCGGCGAAATGCATCTTGGTATTGATAAAAGAAACAAGATGGCGGATGCACAATAACTACGAAGGAACATGAGGAAGGACATAGTTTCTTTGAGAAATCTGTTGTCGACAACGCTTTGGATGAACATTGAAAGAGATGTCTAGTATGTTCATCTTGTAAAGAAACGTCGTCTACCTGTAAATTGAATTGAGTCCATCGTGGTCCTTCGTGGATTTTAGATATCCGCCATCATGATATTCCGTTGCTCGAGTCATAATCGCCTGTCATGACGAGGTGGTCGTATTAAGGRATGACCATTAGCTGGGAGTTTCACTATAAGATGCTCAATAGAGGAACTCAATGGGGTTAATCGCGAGCCGTGAAACGGCTGAAAAATTAGCCGTTAGTCGTGAAAATGCGAAAAAATTAGCCATGAGGCGTGAATATTTTTTTATAGCGTGAGCCGTGATTCAGTTTTGTCCCTCAGAAGGACAGTCAACTCCGATTCAGGCGCGCGCTTGTAATTTTTTTTTAAAATGTTTTTTGTAAATGCTCTATTCGCAGAGTAGCTCATTTAGTGCATCGAAGACCTTAATTGAGCGGGAGCCTGCGTCACGAAAGCTGACGCTGAGCAAGAAACCGAAAGCTGCTCGATATAGAACGTTGCAATATTGAATCGACATTTTTTTTTTAGATTGCTAATAAAGTTATAAAAGATTTTTTAATTCTTAGATAGTATTTTTGGGATTTGTTTTGTACATTTTAAAACTCCCGCTCATTTAGTGCATTGAAGACCTTAATTGAGCGGGAGCCTGCGTCACGCTAAGTGCGACAAGAAGCTAAAGCTGCTCGAAATAGAACGTTATAATATGAATCGTCATCTTTTTTTTAGATTGCTAATAAAGATATAAAAGATTTTTTTTTGCCAAAACAAAACTAGCACTCATTTAGTATGCTAGTACATCGAAGACTTTGAACGGGAGCCGATCATATATCCACTTCGTAAAAAAAAAGACGGTTCTCGGGAAAGTGAAACACAAGAGATGACAATAATTATGCAAAAATAAATACATAAAT